TTCAGTACACATCACGCTCTGCTCCCTCTGAATTGTACTTTTTATGCGGTTACCAGTTCCTTATTACTGGTAACTTATTATTATTACTATTATGGTTATAATAGTTGTGCTAGGTGAAGCGAGGGTACTAAATTGAGGTCACTGTGTGAAGCGAATTTGTTAAAGTTTTCTGTTGAAAAATTTTGACTCGACGTATATCGTCTTGCTGAGTATAAGTGCATGTTTAATTTCATCTAAGTCGTAAAAATAACGAAGAATTAACATATGACTTTCAAGCAGTAGGTTTCGGTTTGATTTTCATTTTCACTATGTGGTTCTGTTTAGTGACTCGATCGGCTTTGTGCTTTTGAAAAGAATGGGCTGGCGACCAGGTAAAGGAATAGGGCCATTGGTCAACAAGCAGAATCTCGAAATGATAGCTGACAATGGTATGGACTGTTTTGCATGACTGTTTTGATTGATTTTACTTATTAGGCGAAAAAGAAAAGATCTATGGATGTCAACTTCCCCCGGGTCTTACCAAGACGGTAAGTTTTACTGTTTAGTTGGTTATAGTTAGAGAACTTCAGTCCGATAATCCTGTCATTACTTTAGGGAACTCAAGATGAAAACGTGCTTCTGAAACCGGATGGGTACAAAGTATCAGTAGAGGACATTGACGTTCACATGTTCAATTCGAAAACCGATCTCCATGGACTCGGCTACAAAGGCCTGATGGCAGGAGATATTCTCAGCGAGCGACGCGTCTTGAAGACCACACAGTTTCAACAGTCGAAGAGCAGAAAGGGCATTTTTGGACAAGTACGATTTTATTGACAGCTTGTAATCTGTTTGATTTCGCCACCTTCTTTCGTAGGCATTTGGCGTTGGGGCTTTCGAGGAGGAAGATGTTGACATTTATTCGGTCGAAGACCTTTCAAATTATGACTTTTCCATTGGACTTCAGCCTTCAACTAAAGACTCTAAAACCGGTAAAGAGTTTTCTTCTGTGAGCGGTTTTGTTGTTGCTGCAGATTTCTTGCTAAGTGATACATAAGGTTTTTTGTTTTATTAGCCTTAACTCAACTATGAGATTGTGCATTAGCGGCACTAGCAGAGTCGTTTCTGTGGGTTTCGACTCAGGTAAAGTAGTACTCATTGAAGAAGAAGCGAAACGAAGAGAAGTTTATTCGTATAGACACCATATGTTCTATCAGCGTAATGCCATATTTTCTTTTCGCAGAATAATGCATCAAAGAACTGCAGACAACTCAACAGTGTTTGAAAATAAAACCCACTTCGTTCTCGATCTCACCAACTGAGAGTATATGCAGTGAAATTCTTTACTCTTCAGACTCATTGAAAGTCCTTGCGCGAAACGAAGCACTCACCGACGATACGACCCTGAGTGACTTGCCGTGATATTTGATCGTGTCTCTGATTCAAAAATGCTCTCATTAGTTAGGTGAGTAAGAGCCGGGAAGGAAAACAGAAGAACTGAGGACGTTTCTGCAAGTGGCGCACCCAGTTCAGCGCTGTGTCACTTTCCACAGAACCACATCATACATCTTGGTGGTTCTGAGTTAGAATATAATTGTGCAGCAAAATGATAAGATTCTATGTTTTTATGCATATTGTATGGGATCACTCCTTCCAACTTTTCTTTAACGAATCTCTGCTAAATTTTGTTAGTCGTTGTTTGTTTCGTTTTTAGCAGAAGCGACCGAAGAGTTTGTTATCGGTACCGAAAAACTACAGCGAAAGTTTTATCCTCCCCCTAAGATACCGCGCGACTTTAAGCCGGAACATGTTCCGCTTCACGAGGAAAATCCTGTTACTGCTGTTGCCGCTGCAGCGACCGTTGAGGGCAGCGGTAAGAAGCACGTTTCAAAAAAAAGCAGCAGGATCATCGAAGCGACCGCTGCACATTGGGATGACAGCAGCTCCGTGTTTTCGTTGCTAAAGCAGTCGGACCGTGAACGATTAATGAAACTTAAAGCGGTTAACGAAGCGAGGGAGCAGCGGCACAAATCGTCTACTGACGAAACCTCAAAAGCTGCTTCCAGAACTATTGAAGAAGAAATGAAGCCGTCCGCTCCGGTAGTTGACTCTCGAATGTTCGGCGCAGACCGTAAGAAAGATGAATTGTACAAGGAATTTGTAACCTACCTCAAACGAGGTGAGGACAAGTGAAGAAGTGTGTGATGGGATACAATGGATTGTGTATTGTTACTTATAGGTCTGTTAATGCCGGTACCCGCAGGAGTCACTGAATGGGAGTGGGAATCATACAAAACAGAGTTTGCGGAGCATGTGCCTGAAAATCTTAAAGAAAATATGGAGCTCACAAAACACGGATCAAAGCCGTTAGCATCAAACCACATAAGCAAAGTGTATGAAAAAATTTTGCACTCAAAGTTCACTCATGGACAGCAGGACGAGGATGACGAAGACGAGAGACGAGTATTTATTATTTAGTAATTGCTTTCCATTTTACACAGATTCTAGCCAGGCGTTTTGGTTTAGACGGCTGGAGATGAAGACTTGATCAAGGCTGTTGAGATGAAGATGTTTGGGGCGATGACGCGGCAGAAATACACGTGGCATCCTGACAAGTTGCTCTGTAGGCGATTCAACGTTCCGAATCCGTTTCCGGAGTAAATTTTGATATCCGCTGTTGAATATTACGCATTTGATTTATTCATTTTCGTTGTTTAGTACTAATTTTGTGGGAATTCCCGAGTTGCGAAAGGCCAACAAGTCTTCTATGCTACTTGATTTCGATAGCTTTTCTTCGTCTTCCAGAAGAACCGAGGAGAAAGAGCCGATTATAACTCGTGGTATATTCTTCGATTGTCCTTCATGTAAAATATTCATTAAAAACGTGTTTTCAGCAAAACATAGAGAACCGCAACAACCCTCTGAACCTGGACCTTCATTTTCTGCTGAAACTTTACATGACGAGTCCACTTGTTCTTCGACTAGTTCTGAGGATATACCGGAAAATTTGGGAACGGTTAAAGCAGAAGAGTTGAGGCCTCCAATGGACGTGTTCAGGGCAATTTTTGCAAGCAGCGAGTCAGAGAGTGATGAATCCGAAGTCGAAACTACTAAAGTCGATACTAATGCAAATATGCGAACATCAGTCACAGACGTTTCCTCCGAAACTTCTCGAGCGTCGAAAGTTGACAGTGACTTTGTTCATGCTGACGAAAACGTTGCAGCATTGAACGACGGTTCATCTGAAAAAGATGCTCCCTCCTCTTCTATTGATACAACAAATTTGGAGTTTCA